TCTGAAATTAATACTTGTAGGCCACAAAATGCAAGAGCCAAAGGAAAACAAAGGATAAAATATTAAATACACTTGCAATTCAAAATAGAAAATTAACTCACTTCTTGAACACAAAATAAAACCAAACAAAAAACTCTGCCCCAAACCAACCTTGCTCCAAAAACCAACTCTGAGAATCACTGGTATGAAAAGACTGACATTTGGCATTTGAATTTCAGTCCTGTCCAGTACTAACTTGGTGATCTTGAGGATATGGCTTAACCTAAACCTCAGTGCCCTTATCAGTATGCTGAGAAAATAAGTGGAGAAGTTTAAATGAGATCATGGAAATCAGTGCTACTCAGAGTGTGGTCTGTGGACCATCGCTGGTCCACAAACTGTCTGCAGTCTGCATGAAAATAAGTACAGAAACGAAGCATTTAGAACATTTTCATAGCAATTTGACAGTGTTGATGTTTGTTGAATCTAATAATAAAAAAGCCTATATTCTGCATGTCTTTTTTTTCCCATGTTATTTTTCTAGTAATAGTTCTAGTATTTTACAAAAGTACTTTATATGTCAATTATATCACAATAAAGCTGGGGGGAAAAAAGAAAGAAAACTACTGATCTGCAACAGCTTGGGGAAAAACTGACCTGGTCCTTCACCAAGACAGTTCGAGAAGCACTGACATCAAGCACTTTACTGAGTGCTGAGCACAAAGTAAGAACTCTCAAAATCTCGACTTCTTCTCCATCTCCTGGACTCTACAGTCAGTCACTAAATGCTTACGGAGAGCCTCCCAAGCAAAAGACAGTGGAGTGCAGGTGCAGTGGCAGGGCTAAAGAAATTTAAGGAATTTAGTTGCAGAAATAAAACCCACCTAATATAGAAGAAACCAGGTAAAAGACAAGTCAGTACAAGCTCTAGTTAAGGATACTGAAAAAAATTCTGAAAAACTAGGGCTCTTTTCAGATTAAAGTGGCCAGGGAGGTTTTGTCAGAGGAAGTGTGATTAGAACCAGGCCTTTGAAGGCTGCATAGGATTCAGGCAGCTGAGCGGGGGCCTTTAGGCAGAGAAGTGCCAGAGCAAGAGGTGAGAGAGAGTCGTTAACAGAGGATTCTAATGGGAAAACAACGGAAAGGGGCCCTTGGAACCGGCTTTATGGGAAAACTCTTTCTTTGTCTATCAATTCAAGGATTTAGAACATAAACCAGGGGGTCATTGAAGATTTCTGGGCGGAAAAACAAAATGATCCAACTGGGTCGCACAAGCAGGATCACATACCCTACTATTGTATCACCACACGTCACTCTCTGCGAGGTCTCAATCTCTACTCCTTTCACTGCACTCACCCTGCAAAAGATCCCAACCTCAGATGGATGCAACCATCTGCTTCCTAGACTCCTGGATTCAAATCTAGACTTCGATTTGCTGCAGAAAACCAAACTCCGCATGATACACAACAAATGTGTAGTCTCCAACCTGAGGAGGGCCCTCAGCCTGGCCCAGCAAATCTTTTTGGTGTTCCTGGTCCACTCCCTCTTCCCTTTCCCAAGGAACAGCTGTTTCTAACTTCCACCAATATCCTCAAGCCCCCTTATTCCACTGCTTCCCACGCCTCTCAGCTGGTGTCTCTGCTCCCTTCCTCTCAGTTACAATGAAGGTCATCAGATATGAACTCAACTCTCTCCATCCAAGCCTAAAAACATACATATTTCAAACGTCCACTCTGACCCCTTTGCTTCTAATCTAAGTCCCCCATTTGTAATGGATTGATCACTTCCGTCCCTTAGTTGGTTGTTCCTCATTTCTCATTTGTTCTAATTTTCTCTTTATACTGGCCCCATTCCCATATGTTGTTAGTTGCTCCAAGCTCTTCCAATTTAGGTGGTGGAAAAACCCAACATAAAGCAAACCTTTCCTTGACCCCATATTGGCTGCTCTTCTCCTCAAGTGCTAATGTTCCATAGGCCTGCGTCTTTAGTTCTCTTCCTGTCTCACTCTACACAGCCTTCTTGGGCAAAGTCATCCACTCCCATGTCTTCAACTACCATCTCTGAACCATTAGCCAGCAAATCTGTATCTCTTGCCCCTTTGAGCTTTCATGGTGCCGATACCATGTTATACTAATGAATAGCATTCTCTATCTATGTCTCAAAGATACCTCACAATCAACATCTCCAAAACAGAACATCTTCTCCCCAGGTTTATCTCCACTTCTCTTTTGGACCTCTCAGGGACTGACACTATCTGTGCAGTGATTCACATAAGAAACCTAGGAGTTATCCTAAATACTTTGAGTCACTGACTCAGGCCAATTCCACCTCCTTAAGATCTCCTCTCTGGCCCCTGTCCATCCCCATTGCTACTGCCTTAGTTCAGGTCCTGAGTATCTCTTGCTTAGATTCCTCAACTGCTTCTTAACCTCCTTGCCTGCCTCCAGTCTTGTTCTCTTAAATCTATCCACAATATGGATACCAGATTTGGCCATATAACCACCCTGCTTAAAACCCTTCAATGGATACACAAGAAACTTCAGGGCCTGGCCCCGTGGCCGAGTGGTTAAAGTTCCACACACTCCGCTTTGGTGGCCTGGGTTCACAGGTTCAGATCCCGGGCACGGACCTACTCCACTCACCATGCTGTGGCAGTGTCCCACATACAAAGCAGAGGAAGACTGGCACAGATGTTAGCTCAGGGCTAATCTTCCTCAACCCAAAAAAAAAAAAAAAGAGGATGATTGGCAATGGATATTAGCTCAGGGGGAGTCTTCCTCAGCAAAAAAAAAAAAAGAAACTTCACAGCGATTGTCTCTGAGGAGAACTGGAGAATGGGAGGGCCTAGGGTAGGAGAAATATTTATCTTTCACTTCAGTACTATTCGAATTGTTTACCGTTAGCATGCACTACTATACAAAACTAAAGTTTCAGTGGCCCCCATTGCCTACAATACAACATTCTTCACGATCTGCCTGCTGGTTACCTTTCAAGCTTCTCTCTCAAGACACTCTGCCCAGAATGCCTTTCTCTCATCCACCTAGAGTCTATCCACTCATCTTTTAAGACTCTGCCCAAATGACACTTTTCCTGATTTCTCTATACAAAAGCGACCTCTTTCTCCTTTGTGTCCACTTTGTGCCATAAACAGACTTCCATCATGGTGTTTACAGCTCAAATTGTATATAATACTTAGACTGTTTAAAACGTCTGTCTCTGTCCATTAGCCTTAGATTCCCTGAGGGCAGGAGTTGTTTCTTATTTACCTTTGAATTTTCAGAGTCTAGTGACTGAATCAGAATTTACAGAGGGTGGGTCTTGGACAAGAGTGTTTTGAAAATGCTCCTCAGGTGATTCTAACTCAATCTCCTGTAAACAACTGCACTGAAATATAAACTCCTTGAGAGGCCAGCCCGGTGGTGTAGTGGTTAAGTGCGGGTGTTCCGCTTCAGCGGCCCAGGGTTTGCAGGTTCAGATCCCGGTGCTTGTCAAGCCATGCTGTGGTGGCGTCCCATATAAAGTAGAGGAAGATGGGGATGGATGTTAGCCCAGGGCCGGTCTTCTTCGGCAAAAAGAGGAGGATTGGCGACAGATGTTAGCTCAGGGCCGGTCTTCCTCACACACACAAAATATATATATATATTATATACATATATAAACTCCTTGAGGTCAGGAATTATTGTGACCAGAACAATGTAGGTGCTCAATAAATGCTTTCTAAACTGAGGTAGACAAGTCTCAAAGTTGAGAGAGAGGTTGGGGCTGGAGATTTGGAGGCATCAGTTTATAAAATGGTATGTGACGCTGTGAAAGTACATCAGAATACTCAAGAGAGTTCGGAGTGAGAGGAGTAAGGAAGCCAGGGCAGACTTCTTTGTCAGCCGGTAACTGCAGAGGACTCATTTACATGTATTTTTCCTTCCAGACTACGAGTTCCTTCAGGGCAGAAACTATTCTATTCACCTCTGTCCACCTGGTACTGAGCACACTGCACAGTGCATGTAAGGAGCTCAGTGACCTTTTACTGAGTTGTCTAAGTGCACTGATAATAGAGGGAGGTAAAACACCTCAGGGAAACAAAGAAGTGACTACTTTGGCCTAGAAGGGCTAGAAAAATAGAGGTTTTCAGAGGGACAACTGAGTTCAGTTCTGAAAGAGAAGTTCATTTGGCAGAGAAGTGGCCAGAACTTCAAGTAGAGGGAACAGCAGGAGCATAGGTACCCAGGCATGAAAGAGCACAATGCAGATATGGGGCTGGGAGTCAAGTGCCTGAGACAGTAAAAATGTGAGGGAGCTTTCGAAATTGAGGCTGAGAGGGTCAGGCCCAGACTAAAAGACCCTGACCCTCTCAGCCCACCTAAGGATTTAAGCCTGACTGTGAGTAGCCAAAGAGGAGTTGTAAATTTAATCTGAAATGACCAGATTGCCTTCTTATAAAGGTAATTAGTGGTAGCATGAAGGGCCGAGTAAAGAATTGAGAGACTCAAGGAAAGGAGCTTAATTAATGGCTGATGGTCCAGCAAACAAGCCCAAGCAGAGGCTATCCTCCTTAAGTCTTATACCGGAGGGAAAGAACGGAAGAGAATGTTAAATCCATCCTATGAAAACCCAAGATTTAAGTCAAGCGAGCTGGGAATTCCGACTGCTGCTGACCACCAAGCTGCACATCTGGTTTTTCCGGTCTGAACTGCTTGGGGAGTCGCCAGGTGGAAATGCCCGGGAACTTTCTGTTCTACTTCAGAGCTTCCTAGCCCCTTCCCCTCACAGCCCCACCCCCGCGCGAGGACCAAGCTGTGCAGAAGGGCGCGGGGAGGAGGGAGCGCCCTGGACGAGCGGGGAACCCTGGGCAGCTACCGCGGACGCAGGGTGGGCCACTGCGCGTGCGCACCTAAAGCGCGCGCCCCGCCCCCTGCCCTCAAACTAGGCGGCGGGAAAGGGGACTCAGCGCCTCCCAGGAGTGTCCCCGCGGCTTCGAAGGGATGTTGCCCGCTTAGAGCCCTCTCGCCCACACACTCACTCACCCGCTCCCCGCCGGCGCTCAGGATCCCCGCGGAACCCCGGCCCTCATGCGCGGGACCACAGCCTTTCCCGCCACTCGGCTTGGCAGGACCAGTCCCCGCCTGCGTGGGGAGCGGGGCGGGGCGAGCCGGGCTGGTCCATGTGACCCCGAGGGGCAGGGGGGTTAGTGATGAAGTAAGGAAAAGGGAAGCAAGTACAAGTACCGTTTTATCTGAGTCGATCCCCTACATTGAGCCAAAAATCACAGCGCTATGAATTTTCTGCTGACTTAAGAAAATAGGAATCAAAGTCCTATTAGAGGTGAATTTACAAACGTTCTTCCCCTTCTCCTAGTCAAGTGGATTATTCCAAAGTCTTATAAGATTAATTAGAAAAATTAGGTTTTATTTGGGAGGAAGTGGAGAGTTGAGCTACCGGCAAGAGTGGACTTTTTGCGGGGCGGGGGTGTCTGTCATCTAGAGGTACAGGCCCAAAGTTTGCGAAGTATGCAGGAAGCTCCTAAAAGGAAGACATCCACAATAACTATTCATTGGTCAGTTGAGGGTCTCCTTTGGCCTCTGCTGAGATGAGTGTATATTGCCAACAACAAAAGAAGATAGGGTTCAAACGAATAATTATCTCCTGAATTGTTAAGCGTTTCAGTACAAGGAATTGATTTCTGGGGAATAAGGAGAGTTAGAAGAGATTTGCTGGGCTGGCCGGATGGCATAGTGGTTAAGTTTGCATGCTCCGCTTCGTTGGCCCAGGGTTGGCAGGTTCCGATTCCCTGCGTTGATATACGCACCGCTTATCAAGCTATGCTGTGGCAGGCGTCCCACATATAAAGTAGAGGAAGATGGGCAGAGATGTTAGCCCAGGGGCAATCTTCCTCAGCAAAAAGAGGAGGATTGGCAACAGATGTTAGCTCAGGGCTAATTTTGCTCACAAAAAAAAAAAAAAGAGAGCGAGATTTGCTGAAGATGAAAGGACAGATGAGAGAAAAGTGAAAAGACACACAAAAAAGGAAAATAAAGAAGACTATAAAACTAGTGATAAAAGTAGAAAGATACCATTTGAAGAATGTTTTGATCTGCTCTAAGTAAATTAAAACTCTGAGGGTCTAAGCCTCTCCCTGCTATGCCCACTACCCACCTCTGCATTTGCTCCAGGCATCCCATTTCCTGTTTTGGCATTAGGGAGCTCTTCTGGGGCTTAAGTACCACCTGCCTGGAGCCCACGCTGGAGGAATATCAGGCAGATCAGTTAAACTACTTAATTTTTCTAGATTCTAGGTTCACCCACCCCTTGTTTAGGTTGGGAGCTTGCTGGCCCAGGGCCTCCAAAGAGATCCATCATGCCAGAATGAACACAAAACCCAGCCAGTGGATGTCCACAGGTTTATGTGGCTTTACAGAACAGTTCAAAGTCCAGTGTTCGCTTTTCTCAGAGCTACTTCCCCACCGAAGTCCCTGGGGCAAGCATCCCTGAGATAAATACACTACATTCTCCGATTAACTTCCCCAAAATTTTCTGGTACAATTGCAGCCTGATCTGGGGCTAGTACCTCCATTTCCTCTCTCCCTGCCCCCGGCCCCTTCTCCCAACCCTTGGAATGCTTTGTCTCCTCCACTTCTCTCCACCTGCCTCTTGTGAGGAGTACTCCCTGCTTCCCTGCTCCCTCAGAAACCTAGAGCCATACACAGGACTAGCAGCAGGGTGAAGGCCAGAAGCTTAAGATCTTGGTTCCCTATGCTCAGCACACCGGGTTGGGAGAGGAAGGTATAGGATGACACCTCCTTTCCCTTCCCTATCTCTCCTGCCATGCCCCAGAACTCAGACACAGCCACATTCAGTCACATTCATACACACAATCATGCACACACAGCGGCAAAGAGAGGTGGGATGGGGAGGAAGGGAAGTTTGTACCAACCAGCTCATGAATGCAACTTGAAAGATTTCACACAGCAAAAGGCAAAAAACACACACACATAAATTAAAAAATAAAGAAGTACATGCCCCTCCCCACAGTCTCTTTCTTCATCCAGGGGCTGGGTCAGCCCTTCCACGTAAACCCGGAAGCTTCCTACTCCCTCTATGCCACTGGAGCTTCTACAGGGCCTGGGTCTTCAGTTCAACAGGTTCCCCTGTGCTCTCTGGTTGTCCATTGGCGTCATTGGGCTTGGTACCCTTGAGAACAGACAGTCTCTCAGAAACACTTTTGAGCCGGGGGAAGAGGAGAAAGTCGTAGAGGAGACTGCCCAGGCCCCCTCCAATGATTGGACCCACCCAGTACACCTGTAGGAAGAGAAGAGGAGTAATCAGATTTGGGGAGGGGACCAGGAACAAGGCTGCTCTTTTTCCAACCCCATCAGTGGAAAACAGGCATCCTGCACTTGGCGCACACAGTTGAGCACTATTTAAGCAGAAATCAGTGTTTGTTTTTAAACTCTGGACTGCTCCACTGCCTGCACCTCAAAACTCACCATTTCTTTTGTGACTCATCAAATTATACCTTATCCCACACCTTCTTAGCACATGTATATTCTATTTGTTGTTATCAGTTTGCAGTAGTTTATATATTGCTTTGAAAAAAAATTTTTTTAATTGTGGTAAAATACACTTAACTTAAAATTTACCATCTTAACCATTTCTAGGTGTACAGTTCAGCAGTGTTAAGTATATTCATGTTGTTGTGCAGCAAACCTCAAGAACTTTTTCATCTCGCAAAACTGAAACTCTATACCCATTAAACGACAACTGTCTATTTTCCCCTCTCCCCAGCCCCTGTTAACTACCATTTTGCTTCGTTTCAATGAATTTGACTACTCTCGATACCGCATATAAATGGAATTATACAGTACTGGTCTTTTTTGTGACTGGCTTATTTCACTAAGCATAATATCCTCAAGGTTCATCCATGTAGTAGCATGCGTCAGAATTTCCTTCTTTTTTAAGGCTAAATACTATTCCACTGTATGTATATACTACATTTTGTTTATCCACTCATCTGTGAGGGACACTTGCATTGCTTCCACCTTTTAGCTATTGTGAATAATGCTACCATGAAAATGGGTGTACAGCTTTGAAAAACTTTTTGAATTGTTTTCTTATGTTTGGCTGGCATATGGCCAAACAACACAAACATAGCCAATTTTTATTTATTTATTTTTTTTGTGAGGAAGATCAGCCCTGAGCTAACATCCATGCTAATCCTCCTCTTTTTGCTGAGGAAGACTGGCTCTGAGCTAACATCTATTGCCGATCCTCCTCCTTTTTTTTTCCCTTTTTCTCCCCAAAGCCCCAGTAGATAGTTGTATGTCATAGTTGCACATCCTTCTAGTTGCGGTATGTGGGACGCGGCCTCAGCATGGCCAGAGAAGCGGTGCGTTGGTGCGCGCCCGGGATCCTAACCCAGGCCGCCAGCAGCGGAGCGCACGCACTTAACCGCTAAGCCACGGGGCCGGCCTGCCAATTTTTATTGAGGACTTATTCCATACCAGATTCTGTGCTAAATATTTCACACATACAGCTTTCACACTTATTCTTTGTAACACCCCCATTTTATAGTAAGGAAACTGAGGCACAGAATGATTGAGTTATTTGCGATGGTCACACACGAGGCTGGTAAAGTGCTAGAACAGGGACGAGCCCAGGCCCACTTGTGCTCATACACAACCTGATCTCTGAGAGTAGAAGTTTTTGTCTTCCTGTTCAGTTGTCTGTTCTCCTAGTGCTAGTTTTGGAATCCAGTGGATACTTAATAAAAACGCCTGACTAACCAGCAAAGGAACAATATGAGCAAGAGCCTCTCTTTCTAGCAAAATAAAGAATCCTGCTCACACAGGCATGCCAAACTCTGTGACAGCCCCCTTAGTGTTGAGTGGTGGTAGAACAGTCCACACATCCAGATGGAAAGCAGGAATCACACCTGGAACCTCCAGTCTACACCCATCCAGGAGGGCTGCAGGATCTTGCCCCTCTCCCCTCACTCACCCAGTGGTTGGTGAAGTTTCTGGTGAGAATGGCAGGAGCAAAGGAGCGGGCAGGGTTCATGCCTGCACCAGTATAGTACATCTGCAAGAGACACAGTTGTAACTGAGACATTTACCTCCACTCCACCTCAGCTCCTCTTCCCATAACCCGCATGCCCCTGAAGGCTGGCACCTTGCCTCCAGCCAGCAGCCAGTAGGGAAGGACAACCTGCATGGGGGTCCCACAATGGAGTGAAGGCACTGATGCTCCATCTGGAGACAGACTACGGATCCATCTACCCATGGATCCATCTACGGATCCATCAAGCCCACATCTACCCATGATGCATGCATTACTACCTTGGGGTCCAGAAGGACTAGCACAGCAGTCACGAGAGAGAGAGGGGTAGAGCAGAGTTGACTCCTCTGTGCTGACTGATACAGAGGGAGGTGGATAATGTTCATGTTCAACAGTGAGCTGGGCAGGAAGAAACTTAAAAGTTGGGAAAGGTGTGGGGGCCCTGGAATCCTTAAATGAGAAGTTGCTTCCCTCTCCTGCTTACCCCAAAGAGGTGCCCCAGGGTGAGGGAGAAGCCAACAGCCAGGGCCATGGAGCCCAGGCGGCCATTCCGCCTCTCGTCGTACGTGGCAAAGATGCAGAGCACGAACTGGAGCGTCAGGAAGATCTCCACTATGGTGGCCTGGCCCACGCTCACCCCAGGGTGCAGCTGGGCAAAGGAAGAAGAAGGGAGGCAGCTCATTAGGGCTGCCACAGTGTTAGCTCCTCAAAGCTTCCCAGGTAGGAACCCCTTATGGCATCAGTTCCCTGGAGAGGAAGGATAATACATCCTCCTTCATAGTAATTACATTTCTCTTTTAATTTCTCCTGATAATACTCCTTCTTGGTGGAAAAATTCCACCCACTTATGCAGATGAGGAAACTGAGGACCCATAAAGTAACATAAATTTCCTCAAGAAACTGCAAGGAATTGGAAGGAAAGCTGGGACCTGAATTCAGGTTTCTGGAGTCTCAGTCCAGGGCTGTATTCCTTCCTTACCCCTCCAAACCACCTGTTGATCCTCCCCACCCTGAAACACACACACACTTACACACATGAAATGTCCCAGACCCCTGAGGAACTGATCCACC